AGTTTATTGTGCCAACCTGGCTGACACATGTGGGGTTAATTGAAGGGTGGAGGGATAAATGGCTTGGTGAGCCTCGCCTTTCTAGTTCTTGGGTCTCTTGCTTTCTGATGGTTGGACCAGAGTACAGGTGCCTTAGTTCCCTGCTTTAGCTGGCAAGGCTCAGTTCCTGAAAGACATCCCTGAGAAGCCACATGGACCTACCCCGATGCAGCCCTGGGTGCTGGAGCAGCCATGTGGAGACCCCTGCCAGCCCTGAGATGCTTACACGTTCACTCATCTGGCTTTCTTCCTGCAGTCGGCATCATTGCATGTGTTTTTTGAGATGGAGGAGGACTTTATGGATTGGTGTCAGACATATGGGCTAATGTTGGACTTGTGGGCTTGGGTGGCACTGGGTTGGGATGTTTTCTTGATGTGCACTTACCCTTTATATAAAACTCTTTCTTATACAGGAGCGTCTGTGGATTTGTTTCTCTAATGTACCCAGACTAAGACAATATGATTATAGTTGTTTATTTATAATGGAATTAATGCCCTGTAGTCTGAAAGTGCATCGCTAAGTGTGTCATCGTGTACTGATACACAGTCTTTGAAACATGGGAACAATGTTTTAGTCTTGCCTCCATGAGAGCTATCTCCCGGGATTGTAACAGAAGTCCTGTGTTTCCTGGACGTCTAACAAATAAGAAGGTGATTGATATTGCTCTCTATTCAAATAAAGAGAAATGATCCAACAAAAGTCATTTTGCCAAAGTAGGGGCTTATGGAACACTTTTTTTGGTGGGGGCGAGGAGTCTGAACATGAGACCATTTCACCACCACGGGGGCTTCTGAGGGAGGCAATGCTGTCTCCTCTCTGAATATTTGGGTGATATGTTCTCTTTGTTTTTGGTGAGGATCGAGGCTGCGAGAACTGACTCACAGTGGGGTGGCTCTCAAACCTGGTTACGCAGTATAATCACTTATAATGGACCAGATCAGAGCCCAAATCAATTAAATGCCTGAGGTGAGAGCTAGGTGCTTCCTGAGAGCAGTTCATAGGAAGAAGAACTAGGCGGTCCACCTGTGGGGTATTAGCCACTGCAAACCTCATGAACAGCAGCAGAACACTGACAGATGTAGTGCCAAAAATGAGCCCTCAGGTCAGAAGTCAACTCACTGCCAGGGAGTCGATGCCAACTCTTAGTGACCCTATAGGGCAGGGTAGAAAAGTCCCTCTGTGTTTCCTAGACTGTAACTCTTTATGGGAGTAGAAAGCCCTGTCTTTCTCCTGAGGAACAAGTGTTTTGGAAATGCTAATTAGTTAGTGGACCAATGCATAACCACTACACCACCAGGGCTCCTTCTCAGGCTAGCAGGCACTCAAAATATGGTCAGGGAAGAGCTGCCAGCTCAAGGCAGAGTTGATCATAATGACGTGGATGGAATAAGTCCTTAGAGACCATCATTTGCTGATAGAGGATGACTCAATATGACAAGAAACAGCGACAATAAT